TTAAATTAATTAATTATACAAAAAATTGTTTGAAATTAATTAAGACTTCCCGAGTTTTTGAACGGAAGTCCTGAATGACTGTTATTAAAGGTCATTTAATGAATTTTAATGATTTTCAATGCCCCACAGAAACCCTGCCTTTGTTGGAAATGTAAATAAATTATTTTAATTATGTTTGATTATCTTATAACACTTTTCAGTAACAATATTTCATATTACAGTAAGGCAATCACAGCCATGCTGATATAGAGCCGGTATCGCTCGGGTACGAGAGTGATATTGCGTTTATACAACAGTTCGACGGCATGAGTGTAAATATATATGAAAAACAACAACGGAGTGTCTTTAAAAACCTTTTTGTGCGGAACTACTTCCTTCCGCCACAGATTCAAATCTCAGTTTGACAGTTTAACGGCTGAGCTGAAGCCTCCATTACCGAAAACATCACTTTAGAACTAGTAACGAAGGAACGTTGAGTTGCTTCATTTAAAACTTATTGTATTAATTAATTAAAAGCTCACTGTGTTATGTAGAGTATTGTGAGAGAGAGATGGACTGAGCGAATGCGGTTACCTGCATCTGATACAGCATTCATTCTTCAGCTCAATCTAATGTTGACAATGAAAATATTAGTTTCAATGTCCGCTGAGGAAAGCATTATCTTTGTAGTACTGTCTTTCATCTGTTAAGGGTGATTTCTGATGACAGCGCTGCTCAGTGCATTTGTTAACTGCATCTTACAAGCTGTTATTAAAAATAACTTCCGTTTTAGTCTCTTTCAATGTAAAAGTCTTAAATTCTGACTCGTAAAACAGTCACTCGTCGCTGTCTAATGGCGGAACAATGTCTCAAAAATCACCATCACGAACACACACACTGTTTCCTAATACTAAATACTACTATGTATATAAAATATTATTTATTATATAATAAACAACAACAACAGCCATCATAAAAGCCATGCTCTAATATACAGCATTAAAGTTACATAAAATATAACGTGATGAGATTTTGCCTTCAGCTGAAATTATTTGCTCTGGAACAAAAAATAGATTAATGAGACCAAAGACTGCCAGTCAGGTTTACCCAAAACGAATTATATCTCATGTTTAACCACTATAGAGACATTAGAGCCAGCGGCAAATTCCAGAAGATCTGCCCGAGGTTATGGCGCTCTCGGCGGGTTCATTAGCGCTGAACGGCCCCGGACACCCTGGAGCTCACGTCTCTGAAAACGTTGAAGCAAATTTTCAAATAGACGTTATCTTTATTAACAAACCGTAAATTTGAATTCTAAACAAGTACATTCTCGCCTAAAAACCTTTTAAAACTACATTCCGTGACACAAAAACAGTATTATTTATACATTTTAGTGGATTTGGGTGTCCGCCATGACACTCGCTGTGAGAAATACTGGAAGTGGAGTGATACAAGCGGTGAAAGGGCATTCCTGTATATATATATATAAAAAAAAAGCACAGATAAAA